GGAGGACGGGACCAGGAAAATGAAGAGGAGGATGAGGAGGAGGACAAATATTCTCACCTTCCGCTCTGACTCCCCATCCACATTCCGTTGTCCCTTTCTCCCTCCCTCTTGCCCTCCCCCTCCTCTCCCGCCCCTCGTTCCAATGCTCCCCGCGTAGTCTGGAATGTTTAGAGGGCTCTACCCTCTGCCGCGGGCTCCCCCAGGCGGAGCCATCAGTTGATGATCTTGGAGCCGCCTTGGCTTTGTTAGGCCACTGAGCAGTGAGGTCATCCTGGGGCCTCAGGGAGCCACACTGAGATTCTCTTCGGCACTTTTGGGGTCACCTTGGGGCATATGGTGGCAATATTGGGCGATATTGGTTGCGTCGGCCGCTTTGGTGCCATCTGAGCGTCTGCGGGGAAGTACTGCCGCCATCGTGGGGCACCCTGTGAGCCAGCCAGGATGAGCCAAACATCATGGATTGGAGTAACGTCAGGTTTTACACAGTTAAGCATTTAGATCAAAAAACTGGTGTGCGCCTTCTGGACCGCCTGGCGGCAGTATTGGGCAGTGTTTAGGGCTCTGGGTTGCCTCTTCGGGCATTTCTCAGTCGCTCCCCGATGCCTCTCAGCCACTCACGTCGTCGTTGCCACCCAGCGGCGTCCTTATGGGAGTCTTGTGGTCCCACCCCCCTTTCCTGCAGGCTTTGTTTGACGCTGCGAGCTCCCCTTGTAGGCAGAAGGCAGGAGCCAGGGCTGAAGATAAGATATGATAAGCGACGCGACTCAGGGCAACAGCACAGGAGAGTAAGAAAAGTGGCATGGCAGAATGTATATCATGCGCCAGCTTCTGTTGGTGTATGTTCCCTGTTGGTGTCTCTTATGTTTCCTTGCCACCTCGCATGATTCATGTCTCTTGTCCTCAGCCCTGTCTCCTGTCTACAATCTAAACGGGGAGCTCGCAGCGTCAAACCGAGCCCGCAGGAAAGGGGGGCGGGGCCACAGGACTCCCAGAAGGATGCCGCTGGGTGGCACAGACGACCCAAGGGGCTGATGGGGCCTCGAGGAGCGTCCCAGAACGGCCCGAAGCGCGATCCAGAGCCGAACACGGCCAAATGTTGACGCCAGGCGGTCCAACGGGAACATTAGTTTTCCCGGTGCATGCATCATTGTGTTTCAGTTGCCACCTCGTCCCAGAGAGAGAGAGAGAGAGAAAGACTTCTCAACACTAGGTGCTTGCGGCCAGTTCATCCACCATGCCAGTGCATTTCTGTGTGGCCACCCTTCGGTAATTGTCCAGTTTACCCTCAAGTGGAGCGTACGTTACGATATTCGGCAGCGCAGTGGAGTAAACGGCTGGGTAAGACGTCGTGCAGCTAGAGGGGGAGGATGGAGGAGGAATTGGAGGAGGAGCAAGAGGAGGAGTAGGAGGAGGAGGAGAAGCAGGAGGAGGAGGACGACGACGATGAGGAGAAGGAGGAGGAGGGAGAGGAGGGGAGGAGGGACGAGGAAGGAGGAGGGGGCAGGCGGATGATGATGAGGAGGAGGAGGACCCGGAGGACCAGTGTAAACCCAAGACCCATTAACGATGTTGGAACTTGGAACAGATCCTCCCTCCACGCTCTCGCTTCATATGCCCCTACAAGGATTCATTTCCACTGAGGGAATTGCCCCGTTGGGAGACAACCACCATTCTCGGGACTCCAACGCCGCGAATCAACCGAATTGTCTCGTCTTGACGATCCAGAATCTTACCAGAACACCACGCCTGGGAATTCAACACCGCGACTCAATGTACCCGGTGCGCCCTGACGCCCTGACTCGTTCCAAGACGCTGTTTCTGGTACGTTGGCCAAGGGAACCCGAGAAACCTGTTCTATTGTTTAAAAGGGTATGCGCGGCGCCTAGGCAAGAGCCACATGTTGGAAAGGAACCGCCCTCATTCCGCGAAGCTCTTGTAATTTTGAAACGAATGTGCGCGGCGTTAAGGCGAGAATCACATTTGAAACCCGCCCGCCCTGAACCCGTTAATCTTTTTAACCTGTTCAAAAGGGGTGTGCGCGGCGCTAAGACGAGAGCCATATTTTGAAAACCTCCTGCCCTCAAAGTGTGAAGCTCTTGCAGCTGTTGCAACGAATGTGCGCCGCGCTTAAACGAGAGCCACATTTTGGAAAATTGCCCGCCATCCATCCGTGAAGCTCGTGTAACTTTTAATCGAACAAATGTACGCAGCGCTAAGGCGGGAGCCACATGTTGGAAGCCGCCCGCCTTCCGTGTGTGAAAATGCTGCCAATTCTTAAGCTTCAGGATCACAAATGGTGGGGAGGTCTCAGGCGAAACAGCGAAACGCCTGGCCCGCCCTTCCGACTAGCCCCAGGTTGCGCCAGGACGGAGTTGCTTACAAGTAAAGGGAATGAAGGAGCGGGAGGCGGAAGAGGATGAGGAGGGCGAGCAGAAAAGGCCAGAGGCATTTTCGATGCTTCTCGGAGTTTCTTCGGATTTCTTTCGAAAGTGTCTTCGGGTCCTCTCGGGGCGTCTTGGGGATCTGTTGCCGGTTCCGGTGGCCTTTTGGGGCGTCTAGGGTGCTTCTGGAGGATCTGTTGGGGCGACTCGGGGGTCTCTCGGGAGCCTCTTGGGGCATCTTGTGAGCATCTTGAGGGCCTCCGGGGCCTCCTGAGAACTTCTTGGGGCACCTCCTGGGGGCCTCGGGGGCCATCTTGGGGGCTATCCTGGAGGAGACCGACCGAAGGGGGGGGCTCCTTAATCAGGGTCCACCCCCCAGGAGGCCAGCATGTTGCCAAAGCCGTGGTGAGATCAATGATTTTGGCTATCTCGCCAAGGCCCCTTGGGGCGTCTTGGGTGCCTTTGGGGGGCTTCTGGGGTCTCTTGGGGGCCCCTTCGGGGCCCTTGGGGGCCTCGTGGGGTCCTTTTGGGGTGCCTCCTGGGTTCTCCTGGGTACCTTGGGGCCCTTTTGGGGCACCCGTGGGAGCCTCGGGGGCCATCTCGGTGCCATCTTAGAGGAGTCGGTCAGAGGAGGGAGCCAGGGTCCACCGCCCAGCTGACCAACAGGTCTCCCGAACTCCAGGGACATCAATTTGTTGTGCCATCTCGCAATTGCCTCTTGGGGCGTCTTGGGTGCCTCTGGGGGGCTTCTTGATTCTTAAGTGAGCTCAAGGTGGCTCAAGTGGGCTGGCTCAAGTGGGCTCAAGGGTGGCCCAAAGAAGGACCGACTTGGGGTGGCGACCTGCCTTGGTTGTCCCCCTCATCGTAGCCACGGCTGGACGTGGTTCGGAAAACTGGACCCGTGCTTGCGATAGCGGGTAAACCGAGGTATTTCCGGTTCCTGCTTGCGCAATCACGGCCATGGCGTGCTCCCATGCGGCTTGCCCGCTCCACGGCGCGCTCCCCACAGCGGCCGACGAGCAGGGCAGATGCCGGCGCTGCGGTCAGGCGCTTCCTGGCCATCCTGGCGCCGCTGTTGTTGTTGCTGTGGCGACCGGGCCGCCGCTGCCGCCAGGGCTTCCCGCCCCAGGGGAGAGCTCTGCTGCGGCTGCCCCGCCGTCCGACCGGGGCCTGCCCCCAACTGCTGCCCAGGCCGCTGCCCCGGCCGCTGACACCACGGGTATGACCCAGGACGCCGCCAGCTTCGACATCAGCGGCTCCAACATCGACGCCGACGAGGGTCACCGCGAGCTTCCACAGCCAGAGTCGCCCCAGGCGATTCTCGACGACCAGCTATTGACGGACTTCGTGGAGCAGGAGATCTTGCAGCACCTTGCGCTGGTGCAGGCCGCGAACGGCGCTGAGGTGGCTCAGCGTCGCGTCGCGGTCACTCTCCCCAACTCTTGGCAGGACATGCAAGGGCTGCTGAGGAGGCTCGCCTACGACCCGGTCACCATTGACCCGTGGCGACGGTTCCGCTTGGCCATGTACGAGGGGCCCGAGCCCACGGCCTCGAGCATCGCCGCCCGCGCCCGTTCGGCGCGGCTGCTGTTGGGGCTTGCGCTGCACGCTGGCTGGCCAGCCACGGACATGCACGACGCCGACGCGTTTGGCTTCGCGTTGATGGCCGCGGAGGCCCACTGCCAGGACGAGCTGGGGGCGCGTGTGAAGGAGCGCTGGAAGCTCAGAGCCAGCAGGTTGCCGCTCCACTGCGAGCTGGGTCCGGTGGCTCTTGCGTTTGTCCGGTCGCTCGCGGTGCTCCCGGGGGGAGCAGGTGTTCACCCAGTGGTCCGACATTTTGGGCACGCTCCGTGATTCGGCGGCCCCAGCCCAGGTCGTCCGCGAGGCCCGGGAAGTGGCCACCCTGGCCGAGAAGGGCGACGAGATGCGCTTGTGGACCTCGTTGGCGGGCTGGGCTGCTATCGTGTGGGCGCCGAGGGAGACCAACGCCCTCAACCGATGCCTCAAGGGCTTGCTCCGCATGCCGCCGGAGGGTCGCCCCACATCAGTCCGGCTGGTGACCGCCGTGCCCCTGATGCCTGCCATGTCTACGCCGGCGGGGGTGATGGACCTTTGGTGGCACCCATTGCTGGGAGACGCACGGGCGTCCCTCGTCCGGGAAACTACCTTCTCTGTCGCGCCGAGTTATTTTGCCTGGACCTGGTGGTTCACGGCACGTCCGCACAGGCCTGGCGGTATTCACCCTGCGTCAAACCGGGGGGCGCTCCCTGCCCAAGATGGCCATCCCCATGGCGCCACTTCTGACGTCGTCCGAGGCCCGGACGGTGATCTTCGACACCCAGGCCAAGCACCTCCCTCAACTCCCCCATTGCTTGCTCGGCCTCCAGGGGGCGATGTGCAGGGGCCACAGCAGGAGCGCCCTCAGCACCGAAGAGCGCCCGAGAGTCCAGCTCGAAGCCTCGTTCCCCTCTGACATTGCGGACCTCCAGATTCTTTTGAGGCTGCAGGCGTTCCGGAGGACCGAGCTTCCAGCGGAAGCACCGCTTTCGGCCTCAACTTTATTTTCGCCGCGGGGGGGCCCCAGATCCTCGAGACCACGGTCGGTGACAACATCCACCACTACTGGCGCCTCTGCTCGCAGATGGTTTTCCTGAGCATCACCAGGTATTTGATTTTCACCGACGCAGACAACGACACGTGGAAGCACACTATGGATGCCGTCCTCCAGGAAAATCCACCGAGGGTGCAGCTCGGCTGAAGTGGCGCCCCCCCAGACTGGGCGGCCGGGCCATCGCCGCCCCTTCGGCCGCCCCTGCAGCCCTGGCAGCCTCCAGGCGGCGGGCCAACAGGAGCGCATCTCAGCTCGACTTCATCACGGACGCCACCTTGAAGGGGGAGGTGGGCAGGGAGGACGGGGTCGACGTTCGTCTCCTCGTAGACCATGAGGCGCGGAACGTGGGTCTTCAGCTGGCGGAGACCGACGTCGGGAGATATCCTTAGGACGGTTAATTCATGCACTTGGCCTCCAAGGACACTGCAGCGGCTGCTGGGCGGGTCCGCCTGCTGTTGGCGAGCCAGGGGGAGGTCAGGAAGGTTTCCGCGGCGCTCCACGGCCCGTCAGTCCAGGTGGGGCAGGATTACGTCGGCGTCGAAGTGGCGAAGGGCGCCGAAGACGCGCTGGGGTGGCCGGGGAACGGCGGCGGGGGGCGGGCTCCGTAGCCAACCGCCTCCCAGATCAGGGGCTACTCTATGCCGGAATTCACGTCATCACCGAGGCGGGGGACGAGCGATGGTGCATCGACGTCGCCCTGTCCCTCCGCGCTGGCGCGCTGGTGTCGCGCGACGCGGGCCGCCCTGGGGCCCCCCCGCCTCCCAGGGCGCCTTCATGCACGAAGCAGCTTTTCTTCCAGATGGGAGTCGGGCTCCAGAGCGCGACCGACATCATCGATTTTCTGATGACCGTCAGTTACCTGTGCTACCCCAGCTACTTGTCCAAGGTGGCGATCTCGTTCCTCGAAACTGGGCCGGGAGCGGCGCCGAACTTCCAATCGGCATTTATCGTCGGCAGCGGCTTCTCCAGGCGCTGGGCGAGCTTCCGCCGACGCGCATTCCCCCTCCAGCCCTCGCGGCGCCCCCGCAGCCTCCTAGACAGGCCAGCGCCGCCGAGGCCCTGGGAGCTGGGAGTGTTCGGCGAGCTTGAACCCGCGCCGCGGGGATTTCGCCATCGCGGAGTGGAATGCCCAGGCTTTCTCTGCAGCTGACCCCAGTCGGCACGAGCTCGGGGTGAATTCTTGACGCTTCGCGTATCCCCACCAGCTCCGACTGGAGGACCAGGGAGAAACGTTCGGCCCCCAGAGGAGACGCTCAGTATGCTGACAAACGACAGCGCGGATGGGACTCCGCCCGCAGGTGGGCCTGACGGCCCCACCCTGTCGGAGCGCTGCCCCACTGCCTCTCCCCAGGCCCAGGAAGGCAGCACCTCCGTGGGGGACAGATGGAGAGGGTTCCCCGCTTTGTCCTGCAGCTCATCTGCGGCTCAAGGCCTTTCCCCCCTAGTCATGTCCATACTACGAGTCGCCACTCAACCCGTATCAGAGCGCCGCGCATGCTTTCTCGACGGCAACGACCTCGGACAGCTGGGGGCTGCCTCCACCTCCTCATACAAAGTTGTCTCCATTGCGCTGACCCTGTGGGCCATTTGGTCCCCCGACGTGCCTTGCGGGGCCCAGTGGGTCGGCAGTCCGATGGTCCTCTACCGCCCCTTTGCCGCCCACAGGAGCAGAGGTCACGAGGATACAGACGCTGCAGGGGCGGCCCCCGCAGGCCCTTCCGCGGATAGCCCCTATACAGCAGGGGCTGGTTTCACCGCAGTGGCAGGCCCCGGCCTCAATACATTCGTGCCACCTCTCGGGAACGAGGTGCACCGCTCCCACTGCGTCTAGACCCCCGCGGTTCAGCGTGGTCTCTAGCCCGTGTGGTTACGGCCGCCATATTTCCGTCACACGGTTCACTTGGGCTCTTCTCTGACATGGGCCCGAGGTGCCCGCCGCGCACCCACCTGGGGCGGCTGGGGCCGCAGGACAAAGGCCCCCCCCCCCTTCTCGCTCCATTACCAGCGCTTCTGACAGCATCGACCTGACTTCTGACAGCAGCGACCTGGTGACGTCCCCGACCGCGCTGCGTGCGTCCGTGACTGATGCTGGGCGTTGGGCCCTCGGCGGTTCCCGCGTATTCACCTGACCTGCGGCTATCGGCTGCGCCCCCCCCCCCCCCCTCTTCCCATCGGCATCCACAGCTTGGCGCCCGTCGTGGTTGTTTCACCTCAGTGACATGTTGTGGCACTCCTTGCATTCCTCCCCTGGAAGTGGGACACCAACAGGATGTTGCGATTTGCTTTCCACGGTACACCGTGGCTTAGCCCGTGTGGCGTCGGCTGAAAATAATCCACGCTCACGGCGTGACTTGGCCTAGCTCTCGCGAGCACGGGCCCGCTTCGCCCGCCCGGGCATGCGAGCGGCTGGGTGCGTCGCCTAAGGCCCGCCCCTTCGTTCCACAACCACAACAGGGGGTTCGTCGTGGTTGTTTCATCTCAGCGACATGTCGTGGCCCACCCTGCATTCCCCTCCGGATGTGGGGCACCGCTTTGGCATGGTTGCGACTTGTCTTCCACGGCGCATCGTGACTTAGCCCGCGTGGCGTCGGCTGAAATAATCCACGCGCACGATGGGATTGGTTTTGGTTCTCGAGCATGGGCCCGCCTCGCCCGCCCGGGCGTCCGAGCGCATGGGTACGTCGGCCTAAGGCCCGCCCCATCGTTCCACCCTTCACGACTCTGCCGTTGCATTCCCCATTGGCAGGCGCTGACGACGGCTTCTTCGCGGGCATCGGTTTCGGACGCGGTCTGCCCGCCTAGGCCCACCTCCACGCGGTGCTCTCGGCGGGAAGGAACACGCCCCCCTCGGTAGCCGTGTTCTGCGGTGCCTTACCTAGTGGTGACGTGCAACCGTCCATGGGCCTTAGTTGCTTCGTGATTGAGGGTTCCTGGTCACCGCATGTGCCTCCGGCGTTGGCTTCTGGCCCGCTGGTAATTATCTCGCCTCGCCCGTGCATCCCAGCGCTGGCTTTTGGCCCGCTGATAATTATCTCGCTTGGTCCCCCCAAGCTCGCTTCGCCTTCGCTGCGCTCTCTCTGGCTTTCCCGCCCCTGCCCGCCCCTGCTTCTCCCTCCGCGTTCCCCCCCAGTCTTTCGCTGGCCTGCGCCTCGGGAGCTGGCGCCACTGTGCGACCTTCCGCTGGCCTTCGTGTCTGCCGTTGCCCCTGTCCGGCTTAATGTGTGTGTGTGTGTGCGTGTGTGTGTGTGTTTGTGTGTGTGTGTGCGTGCGTGCGTGTGTGTGTGTGTGCGTGCGTGCGTGTGTGTGTGTGTGTGTGTGTTTTAAAAAATCTGGCGTGTTTATTCATGTTCTTGCTTGCGCTCCGGCGCTGGCTCTTGGCCCGCTGGTAATGATCTGGCGTGTCACCCCATGCTCGATACTACCCGCTCTCTGGAATCGCCCTTGGAGCCGCAGATCAAAAAAGTATCCCCGCCAGCGCCGTAGCCCCCCTGGCTCAAGCCTGGCTCAAGCCATGTCGTCTCGAGCCCGCCCCTGACTCAGGTCGGCGCGCGCTCGGGCCCGCGCGCGATGGAGACGCCGGCCGCTCGGCGCCGCCGGCAGAGGGCCGCGGGCGCCGCGCGCGCCGCCGGCGCAGCCGCTCCTGGTGGCGCCGCTGGCGCCGGCGCAGCGGGCGCCGCGGGCGCCTCCGGCGCCGCCGGCCGCCGGCGCTGCCGGCGCCGCTGGCGCCGCCGGCGCCTCCGCTGCCATGGCGCCGCGGCGCCGCCGGCGCCGCCGGCGCCGCCGGCGCCCGGACGCCGCGCGCGCCGCTGGCGCCGCCGCCGGCGCCGCCGCTCCTGGCGGCGCCGCTGGCGCCGGCGCCGCGGGCGCCGCCGGCGCCGCCGCTGCCAGAGGCGCCGCGGGCGTTGCCGGCGCCGCTGGCGCCGCCGGCGCCGCGGGCGCCTCGAGGCCGCTGCCGCCGCGGCGGCTGGCCGCCGATCGGCAGAGGCCGCGGCCGCAGTGGCCTCCGCGGCCGCCGCTGCCGCCGCCGGCTCCCCTCTTGGAGAGAACCGGCCTTTACTAAAGTTTGTATGTGGTTGCATGCGCGCAGGGCGTTTAGCGCGATTTGGCAACCCTTTGCAAACAGTTGCGTGACCTGTTGATAACCCGTCCCAAGGGGTTAGATAAAGGGTTTACCAACGGATTGCTAAAGGGTTTAGCTAAACGCCCTAATGGATGAGTAAACTTGTGTGAACGATTTACCAGCTTTCCCAACCACGAGAATCGTGAGTGGCAGATTCAGAAAACAAGCAGTTGCACGCTGATAATTCAAACTTGTAGGGCCGAGTCTTGAGATTTCCAGAGTAGCCACCACGTATCTCAAGCTAGTGCAGTCTGCGAGAGGGAAGCGTGCACGACTGGGAGACATCCGTCGATGACGGAAGGCGAGAAGGGTTCAGAAAGCGGGGATACCAGGAAATCAAAACAGGAGGGTGGGTGTAGTGGCAGCAAAGAGAGGAGGATGCGGGGAGGAATACGCAGGAATGTGAGAGGCAAGAGGTTAACATATACACGAGCATTATGTCAACCATGAAACCGACCAGCAGCAGCTCGAGCAGGATTTGCATTGGCTGATTGTTTTGGTTGTTAGCTGCACCCGTCACGAAACCAACCCCAGCGGGTGCAAAACTGCCAAGTTCTCATCACCCTCTTTGTGAATGAGAACTTCGAGGAAATCAGAGATGTCAATCAAACGCGGCATGCCGCAACTCTGCCAACAACTGTGCCACGTGCCTTTCCAGGTGCATTCAAACGGCTGGATTGTTGCAAAAACACACCCTGCGTACGACGCCAGAAACTTGACGCGAGCTACTTGCCAGTTTGCCCCAGACGTATGGGCGACAACGTCACCCACCCAACATGCATCAAATTCGGAAAACCTGGCTTTCCCAGAGGTCCAATGATCCCCTGGGCCCACGTGCTGCAAGAAGCAATGGATCATTGCTTCCCTTGACATCAACATGGCTTTTCTGCGTGGGCTAACCTACCAGGAACTTGCTGAGGCAACTGGTGAGAAGGAACGCGCGGCGCGCTTTACCTTGCCGCCTGGACCGGCAACGGTGCTTCGATCCCTTTCGAGCATTAAATTGTGATGCGAGGTGCGCAAAGGATTGGGGCGGCAATGTTGCACTTAACCAAGATGAAAACATCAAACAGCTCAGTCCTATACAACATCCTGAACTCACTGGCGCAGACGCTGACGCCAAAGTATCCGAGATGGTTGCCGACGTGTTCGTCAGCCTCAGAGGAGCGTTGGCTTACGCATTAATCACTCAAGTATGGTTGATGGTATATG